ACATCTCAAGTGCCTTTCCTAGGATCCAATAATTCTACAGTGAATCTTCTTACATTTAATATACACATATATACCAATTGATCCTCTTCACTGCCTTCTCTGAACCATTTTCCCTATCCAAAAGAACACAAAAGCTCACTATAACTATTCTAAGTGTTCTTCACACTACTGTGATTCATTAGCATCTGATTTGGGACAGGTTAATTCTTGGCAAAATTTATTCCCTGTAAGAATCTTCCCTATGAAGGATTCATGACTTAGTTCCCTGTATATCGACTTTTCAGTATGAATTGCATTCCTTTATACACGTATTATTTGCTGACATTCTTCTTTTGAATCTTACTAACACCAAGTTCTACTTAGTCTGTTTTAGCCACAATATATTGAAATTATAAAAAGGATTATAACAAGATGACAGAACATTTAGGAAATGTATTTAGAATTCTTATGCCACATTCTTTTTTGCTAAAATATCGGTTGAGTTTTAGAACCTACCTGCCTCATACCTTCCTTTTTGTGCTGAGTTGTTTATGGTCTGTTGGCCTAAACCCAAAGTCAAGAATACATATCAATGCTTAAAAGGAAACACAAAGCCAGATCTGCCTAAGCCTATAATCCCAGCTACTTTGAAGCTACTTGAGCTAAAGGGGCAGGATCTTAAGTTCAGGCCAACCTGGACTACACAGGGAGTTCAAGATCAGCCTGAGCAATTTAGTGAGTCTTTGACTCCATAAAATAAGTCAAAAAAGAGGACTAGAGGTGCAGCTCATTGGTAGAGCACTTGCTTAGCATGAATAAGTTCTTAGATTCAATTCTAAGAGAGAGTACCCATTATAGTACACAGTATAAATTGATTTATAAATTTAAAATAGTCAGTCTGGCTGTCTTTCTCCTTGGTCTGATTCTCAATTGCAGTTGTATTCATCAGGATGAATGTGGCTTTGAGCTTGAATTTTATCCGAATAAAGCATTACAAGTATCTTTTGTTCACTAAATTATTTTTACATTCAGCTTTTGATCTCTGACCTGGCCCTCCTTTGCACCTGCAGTTATATAGTAACATCTTTTATTTGGCACGTGGGAATGGACTACACTGAGCACACTCACCAGATGTGGAATCCAGAAGAATGAAGTCATCTTTATGTCCTAATTCATCTATCAAATCTAGGGCTAGTGCAAGCCAAGACATGTCTCTGGATGTGGATATCTGATGACTTTCCTTTTCTTCTCAGGTCAAGTTTACCAGTGCTGTCAAGCTTTCTGAAGGTGGGCCAGGGAGTGGAATGGAAAACGGGAGAGAGGAGGAGGAGAATTTCTTCAAGCGTCTTGGTAAGTGTCACATTGACTAAGAATTCCACTCAGCTTTCATCTGATTTCATGTATTTAAAGTAACTCCTCCATTTTCTTTTGTTTCTATTTCTGAAATTTTTTATTTGAAATTGTCTCCTTTAAAAAAATGGTCATTTATATCTCTAGTGTTTTTTTCTTTGTTCCTCATATGTGTCTTTTATTTCTATCTATAGCTTTTCTATTGTGAGTCTGACTGAAAAGACATTCACAGAAGCTGTATTGTGTTCCTCACCCCCTGGTGGGCACTGAATGTGCAGAGAATAAGACACAGCCTCTTCTTCTCTTCTGTCCTTTATTAAAATCTGGGAGTCACAGAACCTTCTATCCACCCCCTCCTCTACTTTGGAATTCTGCTTATTGCACGGCTGACAGGTGGCCGTCCTCCCTCTACACACTTCCACTGAGTGGGAGTATGTAACTTTACAATGCAACTTGTTCCAGAGCCAGGCAGCTTTAATTGTTAGGGACTCTTTCCTTAAAATCTGAATATGTATTTGCTCATAATTGATCGATTAACCTAGAGATGGTGTTTGTAACCATATACACGTAAGTAGGCACGCATAATACTGCACCACCTCTTACTTCCTGTTTCCTCTTTTGTTCTCTTTTGGCTAAATATCTTTGGTTTCTTTAGGTTTCCTTCCATGAGAGCTTCTCTAGTTCCACCTAATTCCATTTCCTTTGTGTTGAAGGCAGATGAAGAGCTTTTAAAATGCAGAGCTTCATATGGAATGTGGTAGGCCATATTTGAAATCCATCAGTGTAGTAGATAGTATTATTAAGGGATTCAGCAAATATGTGGACAGAACTTAAAATTACGTAATCGGTTTTTTCATCACATACATGGTTTATATTGGTTAGCTTTTTCCAGTTCATCTTCACATCAATGAATGTTGTGATATGTTTTGATATAGCTCTTAGAGAGTCTTCATTTCATAAAGCTTATTATTTTATCAACTTAGAGGATAGTTCGATCACTTGTCCAAGAAATTAAAAGACTGAATCCAAACCAAGTTGAATTCTGAATCTTTTCTACTTTATAACTGTGCTTTGACTATCCATCTAAAGAGACTCACGTTTCCATATTTCCATCCAAGTCGTTCATTTTATTTTTGAGCAGGAAAAAGATAAAATTATAACTCCTAACAAATTTCTAGCTGATTGTTTTAATTAATAATTTGTGGATCTAGCTCTTCAACAAATCATACAATTAACTTGCTCATACTCAATGAATATTTTCCCATCTCATTATGAAGACATCATCAAACTTTACCAAAAAGTAAATCTCTCATATCTTTGTAACTCTGTCAAAAGGATCACTGCCACTTACTTTATCACGATATGTTCTTCACAAAGGTGCGGTGTTGTTATGCTTATTTCCATCATAAAAATTATCCTAGTCACTTAATTGTCTCTTTAGGAAGACAATTTGACTAGAGAAGACAAGACTTTCAATATGAGGCTTCAGACATTCAGACATCCTCCTTGGCTGGAAGCATGGGTCTGTTGTAGCGTACATGTCTAATATGTGATTTGATTTCCAATACAAAAGGGGAAAAACCATCCTAGGCTCTTCCAGACAACCAAGTCTTCATCAACTTTGTCATTTCAGTTCTTTCACGCTGTTCCCATCCCTTGTGGTGTCTCTCAAGCTCACTAGTGTTCAGAACTAGCAGTATTATAGTGACATTGCTGCGGTATTAGTTTTATGAGAATGAAACTAAAGTATGTCCTAAGGTATGTGCCATGCTGGCTGGATTCACCTGGCTGGTGCTAGGACCATATTTCCATATTCATTCTGCACACTGGACTTGCAACTTAAACCCAAAGCCTTCAGGGTGATGAATGAACCTTTTATGAATGAAATTCTTAATGAACCTTTTCCATATGCTACTGATTGCATGTTTACATCCACCCAAAATTCATATTACAAAGTTCTAATTCACAGTATGGTGGCATTTGGAGGTAGGGCTTTGGAAAGGTGATTAGATTGCGATGAGATCATGAAAGTCGTATATTCATGATGGGACTTTAAAAAATATTTTTATTTATTATTTTTATTTCATGTGTGATGAGTGTATTGCCTGCATGTATGTAAGTGCACGTGTGTCATGCAATGCCCGCAGAGGTCAGAAGGCATCTGAGTTACAGATGGATGTTAGTCATCATGTGGGTACTGGGAATCAAACCCAGGTTCTCTGCAATTGCAGTCAGTGCTCTTAACCACTGCGCCATCTCTCTAGGCACTCATGATGAGATTTTAATGCTGTCATAGAAAATAGAAAAAGATGAGATCTCTCTGTGCTTATACAAAGAAAGGTTGTTTGAGGACACAGTCAAACCAGAAAGAATATAACAAAACTTCAACCCAACATCAGACTTCTAGACCTCAGAACTATAAAAAGCAAATGTTAGTTGTTTAAAAGTCAGCGGGGGGTTGGGGGAGGGGTTGAAGAGATGACTCAACAGTTAAGAGCACATGCTGCTCTTCCAGAGGACCTGGGTTTGGTTCCCAGACCCACATGGAAGCTAATAACCATCTACAACACCAATTCCAAGGTATCTGATACCCTCTTCTGACCTCCACAGGCATTGAACAACATGGTTGCAGTTATATACATCCAGGCAATACACTCATACACAGAAAAAAAAAGTCAGCTGGCCTATGGTATTTCATTATAGCTGCCTTGACAAAGACAAAATGTACTTTCCCATTTGTGGATTATTCTCTTCATGGAAAAGATGACAAAGTAGTTGAGTTCTTGTCATCCCTTTAATTTCTTTTTACTCCCCTCTTCAACTAACATTCAACTTATGCTTTTTAAAAATACTTTTATCGATTCAAGAATTTCATACAATTTAAAGACTTGTCGAGTCTAATCTGTTTCCCAAGCACTCTTGGGTATACATCTACAAGGAAACTGTGTTGTATGGTCACCACAGTGTAATTGTGCATATGAACCCACAACACTTAATGGCAGTATGTACAAGACCTGTACAAACCCAAGCCAGAGAGAGTCCACCATGAATCGGGGAAGTGGGCAGGAAGTCCCAGTTGGAGCTGAGGATCTATTGGCAATTGATAGATGCTGAGAGAGGGAGAGTGTTTTCCCTACTGGTGTGTCACCTTGTAGGTTGACTAAAACTTACTTTCTTTTTCGTGCTTATTTTGAGCTATGCCAAGAGCTTGCACCAGTGTTAGAGACCCATTTCCAAAGTGATCAGACTCTACATTTAAGTTGTTTGGCAAAACCCTGAATTCTCAACTGTCATGCAACAACAATTCCCCCAAGTCAAAATGTATTCAATGTGGGCATTTGAGAGGTACAAAGAACAGAGAGAAAGTTTTCAAGCCAACACTACAGAAAACATATCGGTATATTTTTGAAACTTTTTTTGATCTGTTTTGCTCATTCTTCTGCAATGACTCAACCCCTACAGGTTGCCACAGTTTCGATGACCACCTTCCTCCCAGCCAAGATGGCGGAAAGAGCAAAAATGTGGTGAATCTTGGAGCAATTCGACAAGGCATGAAACGCTTTCAATTTCTGTTAAACTGCTGTGAGCCAGGGACAATTCCTGACGCATCCATCTTGGCTGCTGCCTTGGACCTAGTAAGTCACAGGAAGAATTATCCCACTCTTATTTCAATTCATGCTGTCCAAGAAGGGAAGCATGCCTCCCTTATCCTACCCACAGCCATGCCTGTTTGAGTTGTTTTGTATTATCAGAATTAGTGGCAAGAGAAGGAAGAAAAATGTTAAGATTAGAGAAGAAAAGGAAAAAACTTAATAAGTACTGGGAAGTCAAATGTATGACACCATGATTCTAAGTATGTGAGAGGGTTCTAAAGTCAGAACGTCTGGGCTAAAAGCACCCTGGCATTTATTAGCTGAACAGCTGTAGGATAAGGGTTAGAGTAATATGACTATTACTGAACCTTCCTCCTAAGGCTAGTATGAGTTTTAAATGAGACACAAGGTAGCCCCAACATAGTGCTTGAAATATACTAACACTCAATAAAGTAAGCTTGGCATTTATCATGCATTAGTTTTTTTAAGCTCCCTGAGTACTGGTTTTATTATCCATCAATTAAAGGAAAAACTAAGGACCATTTGAAATGAACTAAAGTAGGCATTTTGAACATTGTACAGAATTATACAAATGTAAGGCATTAAAATATGAAAATGGATCTTGTTAAGAAAATGTTTCTGGGACTAGAGAGATGGTTCAGCAGTGAAGAGCACTGGTTGCTTTTATAGAGGAGTCCTAACTCCAGTTCCAGGGATCCGACACCCTCTTCTGACTTCTGTAAGCATTGCATGACATGGGTACACTTACATACATGCAAGCAATACATTCATACGTAAGGCATTAAAATATGAAAATGGATCTTGTTAAGAAAATGTTTCTGGGACTAGAGAGATGGTTCAGCAGTGAAGAGCACTGGTTGCTTTTATAGAGGAGTCCTAACTCCAGTTCCAGGGATCCGACACCCTCTTCTGACTTCTGTAAGCATTGCATGACATGGGTACACTTACATACATGCAAGCAATACATTCATACACATAAAA